TGGCAATCCTTTTCAACATGAACCAACAAGGGTAAAATATTTTTTGAGACAGAGCTTGCTCTGGATGGATGGGATTTCGGGGCTGTCAGAGACAGGGAGACCCTGGAGATCCCTTCCAGTCCGTGTGTATTTGCACATACACACCCATCCATCCGTGTATCCTTCCATCCATCTATGCATCCATCCATCTGTAAAAACACATCATCAAGCTGCTGAGCCTGCACTCACCACACACTTCCCAGCAAAAGCAAGAGGGACTCGGATGTGCAAAGAATAAATGATTCAGCTCCATCTTGTGCTTCTGCTCCTGATATGCCAAGCAGCACTCCAGCTTGCCAGGATAAAATCCAGACAGCTGCAATATCTGCACAAAACTGGGACAATTCAGATTAAAACCCCATTTTCCTCCCCATCCCTCTGAATATTTACCCCTCTCCCGACAACTGTCCTGAAAGGGAGACGGGAAGAGAGAGGATTTCTCACAATCTGTGTCCAGCTTAGAAACCTCATCTCCCTGAATTACAACCGACTGTGCCTCAGCACAGATTATTTTGAAAGGATCATCTGTGAGAGCCACACGGGTGAAAATTGGGGCAGTTCCCCAAGAGGCCCGTGAAAAGCCCTTTGCTCTCCCGCTCCAAAGCCGAGAGCACGGCTGCACTTAACGCTGATCGCCCCCGGGCTTGACAATCACCTACTGGGGCGTGAACGCTGCTGCTTTCAAGAACAACAGCTCATGGAGGCACTCCGGGGTCATCACAGGCTGCAGCGAGAATCACAACCTCTTTGGGTCAGAAATGAGCAGCACAGACGGATCCCGAAGAGGGATTTCACACGGAGAGGTGTTGGAACGGCAGAAGAGAATTCAGGAGCGGGGTGTAAACTAAAAGAAGGTCGATTTGGATTGGAGATTAGGAAGAAATTCTTGGCTGGGAGGATGGGGAGGCCCTGGCACAGGTTGCCCAGAGAAGCTGTGGCTGCCCCTGGATCCCTGGAAGTGTCCAAGGCCAGGTTGGACAGGGCTTGGAGCAGCAACGTGGGCTAGTGGAAGGTGTCCCTGCCCATGGCAGGGGGTGGAATGAGATGGGCTTTAAGGTCCTTTCAACCCAAACCATTCCATGATTTTTTAAGCCTGTCCTTTCTTAGGTAATCATTACACTGCTCATCAGGGAGAAAAGATCAGGCAAAAAGGGGCAGACACCCTTTCAGCAAGTCTGGCTCGTGCCAAAGGCCTGTCCCCTCAAAAAAATAACACCCAGATACTTTTCCATGGGTTTCACTTCTCACATCTGCAGGTGTTTTGGTTCCTTAACGCCCAGTCCCAACCAGGATAAAGCTTGAAGCTCCACAGCATTGATTTTATAGTCTGGATAACAAAAATCAAGGCCAATAGCCTCTTCCCTTGATTTTGTTAGATGGCACCTCAGGGAGCAATCTGAGCTCTGGCCCTGAAATCACTCCTTCAATTATACCATAACACCATATTTGACACAAGAGACTCTTTTCCCTCCCCCAACAAGCAAACACCAGGGAAGAGCCACGGACCCCTGCAGAAACACAGCTCACTCGAGGCAGGTGAGACTTCACTTTTCAATTTCCAAAAATCTGAAAGCAATTGCACGAAAATCATTATCTGAAATCACAGTTACAGCTCCACGTCTGTTACCCACATCAAGGAAATACTGCGTGGCCACAGTTCTCCCCTGGGAAAAGGTATTTTGAAGGAAAGGTAGAGCATTCAGGGAAGGATAAACCATCCTAATCAAGAACAAAAGGACTGGAATATTTGAGTACTTGCACATGAAGTTGTGCAGATGCTCATGTGTGTATCAGTGCGTGCCTTGCTGCACCTCAAGCAAAGCAGGGGAAGCCAAAACCTTATGGAAAGGCCTGATGCCTGTTAGATTTCTCTTTTTTTGCAGCACAACACCGACAGCTGGACCTGGCTCTGCTCCTGCTCTGTGAGCCCAGACCAAAGGGGTTCATCCTGCACCAAGAGCTGAGCCAGCAGGACCAGACTCCGGAGAACAGGCTGCTCTTGCACGGCGAGCACTCGCTGGGTTTCGTAACAGGCAAGAGGAATAAGATGCTCACAGCATCCAACAGCTCATGCCATGCTAGCACAGAATCATGGAATGGGTAAGGCTGGGAGGGATTGCAGTGGGTCATCTGATCCAACCTCCCTGTTCAAATAGGGTTCCCCTGTCACTCAGGACTGTGCCCAGGCAGCTTTGGAATACCTCTGGTGAGGGAGACTCCACAGCCTCTCTGGGAAGCCACATTAGAATCACAGAATTCCAGAATGGTTTGGGTTGGAAGGGACCTTAAAGCTCATTCCAACCCCCTGCCATGGGCAGGGACACCTCCCACTAGACCAGGTTGCTCCAAGCCCTGTCCAGCCTGGCCTGAACAGGAAAGAAGTTCTTCCTTACGTTCAGATGGAATTCCCTGTGTTTTTGTCTCTGTCTGTTGCCTCTTGTCCTATTTCTTGGCACCTATTTCAGGCACAGATAAGAGCCTGGCTCCATCCTGTGCCACCCTCCCTCAGAGCCCCCAGGCTCCTGTGATCAGGTCAGCAGTCACCTGTGCCATGGTGCTCCTGCTGGCTTTGGGATCACTGACTGCACCCTGTGCACGAGGACAAGGGCAAGGGCACCAAAACTGCTTTGGCACATGAGCCTCACCTCTGTTGGAGCGCTGGGAAGCCAGGGAGGAGGAGTTCCTGCTCCCAGCAAAACGGGGTCAGGAAAAGCCCCTTCCAGCAGCTTCAGGCACCACCGAACCCTTCCTCCCACAACAACACAATGTGTTACCCTTTTTGGGGCACCATGACAAGCGACAGTTTGTCCCTGCATGCACCCACTGACCCAATTCGGGGTGCAGAGCTGCATCCCAGCGACCCGCATCCTCCACGGACCACGCGCTTCCAAAGCATGACTGAGACATTCCTGGAAAGCAATCCAGCCGAGTCCCTTCCACCAGGCAGGTCACACCCCCCCTCACTCCCCACTTGTCGCAGGTCGCCCCACCTGCTCCTGCCTGCTCAGATTTGCCGGAGTGGGGGCCAATTATCCCAATGTTCATCCAAGGAGTGACGCCCATCCCCTTGTGCCCTGTCCGCCCGCGTCCCAGTCACTTCTGCCCCAGTTCCTACGGTCACTGGAGGAGGGAGGGAGGGAAGCAGCGGGGTGGACGGAGCTGAGCTGGAGCTGATGATGGCACATCCCTGCCTGAAGCGCTGGGATCCTCTCGTCCAGCGTGGACGTGTGCGGGAGCGAGTAGGCTCCCGAGAGCTGATCAGTATTCCGCGAGAGGCTCCGCTACCGCGCTGCCATCCCTCCATCCCTCCTCCTCCCTGTGCCTCCCCTTGCCGGAGGAGGTGGCACCCCTTCCCCAGCAGCACCCGCCAGCACCCCCAGCTCCCGCCCCCCCACATCCTCCCCCGCGAGAGATTTCACACCTCCCTCCTCCCGAAGCCACCGCTCCCTGTTGCTTTCCCGGCTCTGCAGCGCAGATGTCCCCGATCCACCTCCGGGCCCTGCCAGGCGTGACTTGGGGACCCGCGGGGGAGCATCATCTGCACGATTTGGGGATACACGGGAGCATCACGTGCACGATGCCAACCTCCCCGTGCCGGGAGGGCAACGCTCCTCTCCAGCGAGGCTCCAAAACGCAGTGGGAGAGGGCGGGCGGGGGTGCTGGGGAAGATGTGATGTGCGGGGTCAAGGTGTGCCGGGCAGGTGCCCCTCCACAGCGGGGAGGGCACCCCGAGGCCAGGGCTCACCTTGTGGAGCTTCCACATGGCTCCCAGCGCCTTGACCTCGTGGCTGGAGTGCTTGCCCTCCTCCAGGCACTGGTAGCAGACAGGGCTCTTGCACTGCACGCAGTACATGCTGTGGTTCTCCAGCTCGTGGTCGGTGCAGGTGGAGATCTTGCGGGGGCTGAGCCGGCGGCTGACGCGGCCCTGGGCCGGGGGGACCAGGCGGTGCTTGGCCAGCGGCCCCCGCGGCGGGTGGCACCGCAGGCGGCACGGGTCGCAGTAGAACACGTCGCACTGCTCGCACATCACGGCCGCCTCCTTGGGCGCCTTCTCGCAGAGCTGGCACCGCAGGGCCGCCGCCCTGCCCTGCTGGTAGCGGTCGATGACGCCCTCGAGCAGCCGGTTGCGGGGGAAGCCCCGCAGCCCGCGCTCGTCCAGCACCAGGCTGCGGTGGCACTGCGGGCAGGTCAGGCACGCGTTGCGCGGCGGCGGCGGCGGCGCCAGCGCGGCGGGGGGCGGCGGGGCGGCCGGCGGGAACACCCGCACCCCGTTCGGGGACTTCTGGCACGGCGTGGTGGGAGCGCTGGCGAACCCCCCGTAGGAGCCGTAGCCGCTGTCCGCCTCGCTGTACAGGCTCATCTTGTCCAGGTCCAGGTAGTCATAGTCGGAGACGGCCGAGCCCGAGGCGCGGCGGCTCTGCGGGGACTCCGAGTCCGGCGTCTGCACCAGGATGTTGCGGGCGCACGCCTGGCACAGGTTGTGCGAGCAGGGCAGGATGATGGGCTCCCGGTAGAAGGAGCCGCACACCGGGCATTTCAGCTCCTCTTCCATCTCTTCCATAGGGGAACGGCGAGGCGCGGCGGCGGCGGGCGGCGCGGCGGCACCGGCGGCCGCGGCGGAGCCCGAGGAGCGCGACCCGCACCGCACCGCGCCCGGGCGCCGACTGCCGCCCGCCCGCCGCCCGCCGCCGCGCGCCGCGGCCTCGCCCCGCCCCGCGCCTCGCCCATTGGCCCGCCCGCCGGCGCGGAGGCGCGCTGAGCGCCGCCATTGGCTGAGCCACCCGCCCGTCAAGCCGCCCGCCCGCGGCGCGCGCTGCGGGGGCCGCGCGCGGGGCTGCGGCGGCGGCGGGGCCGGTGCGGGGACAGCGCGGGGACAGCGCCGATCGGCCCCGCTCCGCTCCCGCCCCGCTCCCGCCCCCGGGAGCCGTCCCTGCGCCTTTGCGCCCCCCCAAGCCCCGTGTTCCCCGCCCTGCAGCCCCGCGTTTCTCGCCCTCGCTGCGGGCAGCGCGCGGAGCCCGCAGCATCCCGCCCCTGGGATACAGGGGCGCTCCCGCGGTTCCCCCTCTTGACAGCGCAAGAGGTGACTTTGGGAGCGCTGGTGGCAGAGGGTCTGCTGAGGGGTTGGGTCGTGGGGCTGTAGCGGTGATTGTCGGAGCGGCCGCGCGCGCGTGTGATAAATTGCATCGCGCTCGGGAATCCGACGGCTTTCCATGAATCGCAGCGCTGGGATGCGGGGATGCCCCGCGTGGGGAGTGGGACGCGGTCCCTGAGCCTGGGACGCCCCCGTGGGGACACGCTCCGCCACTGGAGAGCGGGAATGGGGCCCCGGGGGGCTCCCGTGGCTCTGCTTCTCAACCCTGCTCGCTCTGAAGGTCGACTAAGGTCTTCAAAATATCCTGGCAACGGGCAGCGTGGAATCGCGGGTCCTGTTCAGCCAATGGAAAAATGAGATTGCTTGGAATGTCTCTGTATCATCTCTTATATCCCTCTCTCTGTGCACACATTTGGGGCTGCCCGTTGGCTCTGTGCCTCCCCTAACAGTGGCTTTGGACTATGTCCAGCTCTGGGACCCCGACAGCAGAAGGATGTGGAGCTGCTGGAGCAGGTCCAGAGGAAGCCACGGGGATGCTCCAAGGGCTGGAGTCCCTCTGCTCTGGAACCAGGCTGGGAAAGCTGGGGGGGGGTTCACCTGGAGAAGAGAAGGATCCAGGAAGACCTGAGAGCCCCTTCCAGTGCCTAAAGGGGCTCCAGGAGAGCTGGAGAGGGACTGGGGACAAGGGATGGAGGGACAGGACACAGGGAATGGCTTCCCACTGCCAGAGGGCAGGGTTAGATGGGATGTGGGGAAGGAATTGTTGGCTGTGAGGGTGGGGAGGCCCTGGCACAGGTCTCCCAGAGAAGCTGTGGCTGCCCCTGGATCCCTGGAAGTGTTCAAGGCCAGGTTGGATGGGGCTTGGAGCAACCTGGTCTAGTGGAAAGTGTCCCTGCCCATGACAGGAGGTTGGAATGAGGTGTTCTTTAAGGTCCCTTTCAACCCCAACCATTCCAGGATTCTATGACTTCTCTTGGGAGAGGAGCCGTGACCTGAAAGTGTGGGAGCCTGGGGGCAGAGAATCCAGCCTGGGGCTGGAATTTGGAGCTCAGAGGGGCTGCAGAGTCTCTGCAAAGCCACTGTGGGGGCAGCGAGGGGCAGAAGTTCAGCTCCTGATCCCATATGTGGGGTGGGGGGCCCCGGCCCAAAGGAAAGGATGGCCCTTTGCCACCGCTCATGGCAGTTCCTAAGGATGCAGGAATACTGGCTTCAGGATCCTGATGCTCAGTGCTAAGCCATGGGGTGACACAGGGGGACTGGTGGCAGAGCTGGGGGAACTGAGGCAGCTTCACAGCAGCTCCCCAGGACTCTTGAGAGGGTGAGGACTGGATGCATCCAAGAGAGGCAGTGACCTGCTCGGCACTGGAAATGTCCAGACAAAGAGGGGCAGTCACCAGTGCTGGCTCCTCTGGCTGCTTGTATGTGCATATCCAGAGTGCAGGGAACTGGTTTGGATCCCCCTATCCCAGAAATCAAGGTTATTTTCTGAAACACTCAAGCCACCACTTTTGGGTGCGCCCGATTCCATGGTGGGGAATTGGCAGAAGTACTGGGGGACACCCTGGGGCCGTGTGTCCCCTGCTTGATGGGGACACACTGAGGGGCTCCGTGGGTCCATGCAGTTCCTGGGATCCAGGGAGCAGGTGCAATTCCAAGCTCCCACATTGGTATTCAGATGGAGAGGCCCACGAGCTGAGCTGCACAAGGAAGGCACCACCATTCCTCGGCCTGATAAGAAAGGACAAGTGATAATGAGAAAAGGACTTTCCGAGTGTGTCTCTTTTCTGCTCCGTGCTTTGTTCTTCCCTTTCTCCTTCCTCAGGCTCTGTATCCACCGTGGCTTCCCCTGGACTCTGCTGTGCATTCCTCATTAGCTTCCTTTTGGTGTCTGCTCAGAGCTGGTCATTTTTTCCCCTGCTCTCATTCCTCGAGCTGCCCTTTTGCTGAAGTAAAACCATCCTTCCTTGTTTGCCTCTCGTTTCCCGTGGCCATTTTTCACCCTGGCAGGTCTAGGATTGCTGGAGAGATCCTGATGATCATGGAAACAAGCAGAAAAAGGAAAAAGCCCTGCAAAGAGGAACAGGAACACAGCCAGCACATTTGGAAGCAGCACTTGGTCATAAACATTCAGCTATTTTCTTCTTGGCACTGCAGCTTGTGCCTTCCCTGTTCTCCCAGTGAGCATTCCCGTGCTCTGGCTGTGTATTATTTACAGCTGTCACACTTGTCACTGCCCTGAGAGCTCTGAACCTGCAATAATTACTTGTCCCAACTTCAGTTCATTTGTCTGATGTTGCTGTGATCAGCGATTCCAAGTTTAAGGATGGAGAAGTTGTCTTGTAGTAACTGGCTCCTGCTTTTCTCGTGTGGCTCTTGCCAGGAGCTTCGCCTCTACACAGAATCAGGGAATCATTTAGGTTGGTAAAGACCTCCAAAATCATCGAGTCCAACCTTTGACTGATCCTCACCTTGTCACCCAGACCCGAGCACTCAGTGCCACGTCCAGTCATTCCCTGGACACCTCCATGGATGGGGACTCCACCACCTCCCTGGGCAGCCCCTGCCAATGATTGACAACCCTTTCCATGAAGAAATTCTTCCTGAATTTTCCTGCTCTATCTCCTGCAGTGGGAATGTTGAATCCTCGTTTCTGTTGCATCCACCCTCTGCTCTGGGGGGATGTGGAAGACATTGTGGGGCTGAGATAAATTTAAGTCATGGGGGCTCTGGAAGTGCACTTGAATCCTCTTGGTGAACTGTAATAATGAGGACATCAATCACCTGCTCCTGGCCATCCCTCTCCATGCCCTGCCAGCCTCCATATATCACAGAATCATAGAATCATGGAATGGTTTGGGTTGGAAGGGACCTTAAAGCCCATCTCATTCCAACCCCCTGCCACCGGCAGGGACACCTTCCACTAGCCCAGGTTGCTCCAAGCCCTGTCCAACCTGGCCTTGGACACTTCCAGGGATCCAGGGGCAGCCACAGCTTCTCTGGGCAACCTGTGCCAGGGCCTCACCACCTTCATAGTAAAAAACTTGGGTTTTTTTTTCTTAGGAATCCTGCTTGGGAGGCAGGGGCTGTTTTTACCATTTTAACAAGTATTTTCATGTTGTTATTGTTGCCTTGATGACAAATAACCTGAACTTTCCTTGCTTTGGGCAACAGTGGGTTCTGAAACCTCCATGGCTTTCTGTTTGTGCAGGTGGACGTGCAAACACAAGGCTGCTCCAAGATCTCCTGCTGGGATCCCCACCAGCAAAGGGATTGCAGGACATCAGGAAGGGAAAATCAATAGGATTCGTGTTGCAGACTGGAGGGAGGAGCAGTGGGACACGGAGCTGAAGGCTGCCTGCCGCTAATTAATCTTCCAGCGTCATCCCTGTGATGGATCAATCTCTCATCCACGGGAAGCCTGATGGGATCTTCCCACAGGTGTGTTGCTGGCAGGGTCTTGGGAAGGTGACAAATTGTCTTGCTCACCAGCACAGGGCACTCAGGTCCAGAGAGGGATTTCAAGAGGAAAGGTGGAGTGGGCAGATGGACAGGGGGGGTAGTTCAGGTACTGGGGAGCCAGGATGGTGAGTCTGAGTTGATTTATGAGGCCCTGAGCTGGGCTAGAGCTAATAAATAAAAGAGAGGAGTGAGCCAAGACAACAAGCCCTGCAGTCTCTGTATTCATCCCACTCCTGTAACACCTCAAAGTGATAAATTGGAGAGTGGACAAGGGCTCAGTGCTCCTGAGAGGAGGGGTTGGGACACGGCTGGGGATCCCCAGGGCCTTCCCAGAGGTGTCCCCATGCCACTGGAGAGGCTTCAGCTGTCTGATGGAAGCAGATCCTCCACTACCATGCGGGAAAACGGCTTCAGGCTCTGGAAACGTGTTTCCTCTCATGCCTGGAGGTGCCACACGTGGTGCCTTGTGAGCTACAGGGAGCCTCTGGTGCTCCTGTACAACCCCCTGTACAGCAACACTCCTGTCTCCCTGTGTCTGCTGGAAACACCTCAGTGGATGCAGCCAGAGGTTAAAGTTGTCTTTTTATGGCTCCAAGACATTGGCAGCTCATAACTCATCCCATCACCAGCCAATACACCCTGCTCCTCCTTCTCCTTCATCATCTTGAGTGGATGAGCTCTTGGCTGACAGGAGAAATCCTTGTTTATTAGTCCCTGCGTGAGTGGTCTTGAAATCCACATCCCTGCTGCCATTCCCCTCCCTCAGGTCATTCACAGTTTTCAGCACATCCTGCTTTTCCCCATCCTGAGGACAGCTCCTGGCACTGGGACAGCTGCTGAGGTCACTCTCATCTTCCATGCCAAGACCCTCACCAGGAATGCTGGTGACATGTCTCAAAGGGTCCCAGGGCTCCCAGAATTCCAGCAGGAACTGCCCCCCAGCACAATTTCCAGAGCTTCTCTACTGGTTACATCATTTGCTCCAAGCACCGTTTCGGGTGCGCTGAAGGAGCTCAGGAAGGTGAAACCCCTTCCCATTTGTTTCTGGGGTCTCCTCTTTGCAAGGAAAAATGCCAAATTAGTGTGGATGATCAACCTGTGTTGAACCCAGGTGGCATCTTTGCCCATTTTATCTCACTGTCCCCAGCGTGAGGCATCCACTGGTGAGCCTGTAGCCAAACCTTCAAGTTTTTGAACATTTTTGATGCCCAGTTCTCCAGAATCCATTTCCCTTTGTCCAGGAAAGGTTCCTTCCCACCACTCAGAGCCTGCTGCCAGTTCTGCTGCCTCACTTCTGGCAGGGAATTGCATCTTCCTGGGGTAGTGGTGGGGTTTCCTGTAGTTAGATGGATTATGGAATTCAGAGGGGAGCTTCCCAATGGCAAAACAGCCAGAGTCAGAAATCTTCCTGTTGTGTAGAAGGCAGGCAAAGATGCCCAGGACAAGAAGGACATGGAATTGATGGAGTGAGTACAGAGGAGGCCACGGGGATGCTCCAAGTGCTGGAGTCCCTCTTCTCTGGAACCAGGCTGGGAGAGCTGGAGGGGTTCACCTGGAGAAGAGAAGGATCCAGGGAGAGCTGAGAGCCCCTTGCAGGGCCTAAAGGGGCTCCAGGAGAGCTGGAGAGGGACTGGGGACAAGGCCTGGAGGGACAGGACAAGGGGGAATGGCTTCCCACCGCCAGAGGGCAGGGTGAGATGGGATATTGGGAAGGAATTGTTGGGTGTGAGGGTGGGGAGGCCCTGGCACAGGTTGCCCAGAGAAGCTGTGGCTGCCCCTGGATCCCTGGAAGTGTCCAAGGCCAGGTTGGATGGGGCTTGGAGGAACCTGGGATAGTGGGAGATGTCCCTGCCATGGGACTAAATGGCTTTTAATGATCCCTTCCAACCCAAACCTCTGTGTGACTCAGTGAACTCCTGCTCCCCTCTTGCCCCTGCTCCCCAACAATGACACTCTGGGCTCGTTTGGCCGATGAGCAACATCTCCAGACCTGTGTACCCAGTTCACCGGGGAAGTAATTCACTGCCACCCACACAGAGTGGGTGTTAAACAACCCTCTAGATCCTAACTCCTTAAACCCCTCTGAAGAACCTGGGGAGGTGGCCAAGGCTGCTCTTGCTCCGGGCAGTGGGGAGGCCCATTAGTGAGAGACACTAATGAGAACATTAACTGTGTAACCCGTTTAAATATTTAATGATTCTTTTTCCTTTAACAGACTTTCATTACAATTGCTGAGCACACACTTTCCTTATTAAATCAGCACTTAAGCAGCAGCACAGTGTCAGGACAAACCCCCAAATGCTGAAGGATTGCTCTTCTCCGAGGACTTTCCGGCAGGAATTCTGGCCCATGACTGTGGGCATCAGCGGGGGGGGGGGGGGGGGGGGAAGTGATGCTTCTCTGTCAGCTCCCGAAAAACTTCTTCTGGAAATCACTCCTGGAAATAAGATGGCAAAATTGCTCCATGGAGGAACTGCCAGGCTGGCGAGACGCCAGGACCCGGGGATGTCTGACTGCTGCAGGAGGACTGCGAGGGAGAAGCCAAATGATGCCTCAGAGATGTTTTGAAAAATCTGTAAATCTAAAATTTGCTTCTTGCTTGCAAAGGTGCCGTCATTTATTTTTAAATTTTTTTTTTTTTTTTTCCTCGGGGGAGTAGTGGCAAATTTCTGATTTTAATCAAGAGAGAGCAGGAGCCACTGGTAATACACAGGAAGATATAAATTGTGATGCTCCTCTGACCATCCTGCCCACTTACTCATCTCCCCTGAGATTAATGCCCCACTTCTCCAGCCTGTGACTCATCCCAGAGAACAGCAATATTAAACTCATCCCACCAGAAAAAATCTGTCCTTCCTCCCACAGGCTGGATTTGTCTCCATCCTCCCTTTCCCTGCTGCCCAAAGACTCAGCTGGGAACGTTTGGTGGCTCAGAAGATGTGCTGAAGGTGTGACGTTCCCTGTGTCTTCAGCATTGAAAAGGAAAGTTTGATCGAAATTTATTGGCTTCACAAACAACTCAAGGCTTGTTTAACCATCCCTGGAACTGCTCAAGGCCACTTGGATGGGGTTCAAAGCAACCTGGGATAGTGGAAGATGTCCCTGCCCATGGCAGGGGGGGGAACGACCCTTTCATCCCAAACCATTCTAGGACTCTATGATATTCTCATTTTCAGACAATTTCTGCTTCCTTTGAGCAGAACGTGGCTCATTCATCATGATCCAAACCTGTTAAACCCCTAGCAACCTCTGCAGTACCACCTGCTTTGTTAAGACATCTAAATGAATCTAAATTCTAGAATTCCGAGTTCTAAAATCTAAAATCTAAGTATAATCTAAATTGTATCTAAATATAATAATAAAACTTGATCAGCTGATGTGTGCCTGCTCTCACCCAGGCATTAGAGAGGGCCTTCAGGAATAGTTTCCACGTTAAATTATGGCACTGGGCTATTTTCTTGTCAAGCCTCCTTCCACCCCTCGCAGCTTCTGGCTGACAACTTTGGGGGAAACTTTTTGGATGTATCAAGTGGGAGGCTCAAATCCAATGTATAGCTGAGCCCAGTGCAGATTTCTTCTCGCTGCCATGGCAACCAAACCAACTAAAAATAAAAAAAGTATTCCCATAAATGTCGAAACACTCCATGCTTCCGTGACGTAGGGAGTTATCTGACCTGGAATCTGCAATCATTATGTAACGGTGTTTAACATCACGGTAATTACATGGGAGAATTGTCTCCAGGTTGGGTGTTTTTGCATAACTTTGGGAGTCATTCTGCTTCCCTGTGTTCCTCGGGATCCGTGTTGGTGATGAGATGGAGGTGCTCGGAGCAGCTGTTCAACATCTGCCACGATGTGTTACGTGTGAAGGGAGACACTGAGCTCACGGAACTGGCGCCAGTGTCCATCTGCTCTAAACAACCACTGAACAAACCACTGAGCCCAAAATATTTGGGGCTTTTGGAAGAGCTGCCTGCGCAGGCGGCAGCTCCGCGTGGGTTCGGAGAACCAGCTTGGAGGGAGGACCCCTTGGGGAGCAAGAAGTGTTTTTCCTGCTCCCTCCCAGCTGTGCAGGGCTCTCACCAGCTTGTCCTGCAGGAAGGGGCAGCCCTGTCTGGTGCCCCTGTCCAAGGGTTCCATCATCTCTTCCTAAATCAGGCAGGGACTCGGGAAGGGAGCCTGGGGAGACTTGCTGAGGTGTGGATGTCTCTTCATGGTGGACATCTGATGGTGAGTGGGATGAGACAGACAGGCTGATTCCCACAGGATGAGTTTATCTGTTGCTCTGAGTGGCCTCCAGGCAAAGACCATGACTCCAGGACATTCACCCTGGTGCAGAGCCTCCATCAGAGACCGGGCATGTCTGTGCCGAGGCCAGGAGAAGGTGCCTTCATGCCTCACCACGGGTTTTAGAGAATCATGGAATCACAGAATGGTTTGGATTGGAAGGGACCTTCAGGACCATCTAGTTCCAACCCACTGGCCACAACACCTTCCACTAGACCAGGCTACTCCAAGCCCCAGCCAGCCTGGCCTGGAATTGCATTTTCCCTTCCCAAGGCATGGGAGGTGGGTTCCCACCAGAAGGGAGACAAGGGTGAAGAGGCAGGTTGTCCTGGGCAGGTGCTGTGAGAGATATCCCTCTCCCTGGGGTCACTTGGCCTGGGATCCCAAGTCTGGTGGCCGGATGCCAAACCCTGGGAGACAGAAGCTGACCTGAGCTGAAGCCACGGTGGTGGCCAGACTGTGGCAGAGGCAATGACAGGATCAACCCTTCCACCTTGTAGCCATAGGAGCCAACAGCTCCAAACTGAAGGCTGTGGGAAGGACAGCAGCAGGTAGATCCCTCACAAGTCCTACAGCTGCCCCTTTGGGCTGGGATGGTGGCACTGATCCCATGCTCCAGCCCTGGGTGGGATTGGTGTCACTGATCCAATGCTCCAGCCCTGGGTGGGATTGGTGTCACTGATCCAATGCTCCAGCCCTGAGTGGGATTGGTTTCACTCATGCCATGCTCCAGCCCTGGCTGGGATTGGTGGCACTGATCCCATGCTCCAGCTCTAGGTGGGATCAGTATCACTGATTCCATGCTCCAGCTCTAGGTGGGATCAGTGTCACTGATTCCATGCTCCAGCTCTAGGTGGGATCAGTATCACTGATTCCATGCTCCAGCCCTGGGTGGGATTGTTGGCACTGATCCCACGCTCCAGCCCTGACTGGGATTGGTGTCCCTGATCCCATGCTCCAGCCCTGGGTGGGATTGCTGTCCTTGATCCCATGTTCCAGCCCCAAGTGGGATTGGTGGCACTGATCCCGTGCTCCAGCTCTGGGTGGGATTGGTGGCACTGATCCCACACTCACCCCTCACAGAGGAATGGCTGCTTCCAGCTCCCTGGCACATCTCCCCCTCTTCCCACCTCGGGGAACATGGCGTGGGTGTTCCCACCAGGCTGTTGCCGTGCAGTGACACGCTCGGATGAATCAGGGAGGTGGTGGAAGCACTGAGGAGATGTGAGGGAAGCAAACCAGGCATGTTCCCGTTCCTGACGGCCCACTCCTCGTGCAGGCCCACCTCTGGCTGGCAAAAAGTCACATTTCAAATCTCAATAAAAGGGCAAAACAGAGAGATATTGGCATTTTGAGATATTCTATGGTTTTTTTGGTTTGATCTCCTCCCAGGTGGCAGTGGAGCTCAGGGAGGATGCTGGGCATCATCCTGGGGCAACATCCAACCCACCAAAGCGTGTCCATGGATGTCCAGTTGCTGCTCTTCCATGCCATTGCCACCTCCTGCTCTTCTGCTACCCAGGTGAACATCAAAAAAGTTGGAAATCCTTCTTTGGGGGTGTTGGTGCCAACCACACGCACGTTCCCTGGGTATTTGGGGGATTCAGCGCCCAGGCACCCAGCTTGGCCTCAGGGGTGGAAGAAGATGTGCATCCCATCCAGTCCAGACGCTGTGAGAGTAGATGATGGAGAGGATGTGGGAAGAAAACATCTCATGGGACATGTTATTTGGTGCATCATCTCACTGGAAGCTGAACTGTCCTCAGTGCACCTTCTCTGGGACGGGCTGACACTTCTCTCCCGGGGGGTTCTTGCTGTCCTGGTGATGCAGCAGGATTTTAGGAGGGAAGAAGTGTGTAACTCCTTGCCTGAGGCATTGCTCCAGGCAGGCACACCTCAAGGCAGCGTGACCTTGCCAGGGGAAAGTCACCTGATGCAGGTACCAAACCCTCTCCAGGCAAAACCTTTCCCTTTTTTCCCTGACTGCCTTTGCCGTGCTGGAGCTGAGAGGCAGCTCTGGAGCCTGAGCATCCTGAAGGAGCTTGAGGGAAAGGAGATGTCTGGACCACGGGAAGAGGAAAAGGTGGACACCAGGATGTTGGTGCTCCATGGTTGCTCCACAGGAAATGACTTCAGGCTCACAGACAGCCAAGAGGAGACGTGTGTAACTCCCACAGATTCAACTACAGCCAGGTAAGAGTGTCCTGGCTGGAAGGGGAGCAGTGACCAGGCACGGTTCTGTCCCTGTCATGGCTGAATTAGAGGGCCAGAACCTGCTGGACACTCTTCTGAAGGTTCTTGCCCGTAGCTCTTGCTTCCTCCCTGCTTTTGGCTTTGATTTTTGGCAGAGAAACACCAAAGGCTTTTTCCAGGAAAGCAAAAAGGCATCATTTTTACGGAGACTTCAGCCACCCACTCACTACAACCACTGCAATTTGAAAGGGCTGCTGAAATCCCAGGAAAATGGAAGGTTTGGGGACTTCTTTGCTGAAAGAAGCTGTGGCTGCCTCATGTCTGGAAGTGTTCCAGGACAGGCTGGATAGGGCTTGGAGCAACCTGCTCCAGTGGAAGGTGTCCCTGCCCATGGCAGAGGGTGGGATGAGATGGGCTTTAAGATCCCTTCCCTCCCAAACAATTCTGGGATTCCATGACTCTCTGCCCCTGTGTCTTAGGGCAGAGCTGCTGGGTGTCCAGCAAAGAGGGGTGTGGGGAACAGGACTGGGAAAAAATCAGCCTGCAAAAGAAAAGGGGGAGAATTAAAACAAGTCAGTCTCGTCCTTCTGGACCTTGGAAAAGCTCTGGTGAGGAACAAATCCACTTTGGTGGGTTCTTTCAACCACTGGACATCCAGGAGCTGGGGGTGAGTGCTGGTGCCTGGCCCGGGGGGCTCCAGCACGAGGTACAGGTGGGACAGGACAAGGAAACTCTGAAGCATTTTCCCATGTCAGAAAGGGAATTTCTCTGAGTCTGTGGGCTGTGGCAGTGTCTCCACCTGATCCCTGCATCCC